TCAGTTCCTAGTTGCTCCTACTACGGGTTTAATAGTAATTGCTCAGGGCCTCCCCGGTGGCACAGCAGCTAAGCGCTGGGCTGTGAGGCTGCCCGCAGCCTCCGCAGCACCGGTTCGATCCCCGGCCACTGGTGAGGGTCTCACATGGTGCTACAGACCTCTCCTACCATGCCCGCTGCACCCCTCAGCATTGTACTTCCATCAGTCTGCCTGTTCTGCTCCCCGCTCTGGCTCTGGTGAATTCTCTCACCCTCCCCCGCTTCTGACTGTATAAATGAATAAATAAATAAATAAATAAATTAATTAATTAATCTTTTTTTAAAAAGATAGTAATCGCTCAGCTTAACATGTACTTTTTTAAGTTTAACTTCATTTTTACTCAACAGTTGTTTATTGAGCACCTGCTAGCTCCCAGACATTGTGAGGACATAAATTTCTCCAGGTGCAGAAAATATGCCTTTATAAAAAGCTTAGGAATCCACAGCTATAATTGATATGGAACCATGATACATACCAAGTAAGGGTGTGCTATGATCAGACTTTCTTCTTAGAAATCTTATTTTTACTGCAGTTTGTATAAGAAGTTTGTGCCCAGAGAGGCAGGACAGAAAATGAAGGGATAAAACAAACAGAATTTGAGGAATATTGAATGTGGAAATAAGACCATAGCAGATTAAGATAATCAGGCTTCTGATGAAGATGAATATATCTATCACCAAGAATCTAGGGTTGAGGAAGAACCTATGGGACATTCAACTTTTGGGAAGATGTTGGAGGAGGAAGAACTAGCCAAAGAGGCTGAGAAGGGAGAGACTAGAAAGTGGACTCAGTTGAGTGTTACCTAGGAAGCTCCAGAGGCAGATCTTCAGGAAGAGTGAGATTAATGGTGTCCAGCGCTTCAGGAAGACTTCATAAGATGGACTGAGAAGTCTTCACTTGCTTTGGCAAATGGAGAGAACAGGGTGAATTCAGCAGGACTGGTTTCAGTGGAAGCCAGTTTGTCGTGGGCTGAGAAGTGAGTAAATGGCAAGGAAGTGGAGAGAGAGAGAGATTAGATAGCTTCTTCATGAGGATGTCTGAGAAGGCAGAAGGGGAGGGAGTATGGTTGCTAGAGAGATGCTGGGGTGGGTGGCATGGGTTCATCAGTATGTGCAGGGGAGAAATCCAGAAGTCTGGAGAAATGGAGGTAATGCATGGGGGTGGGGGCGTGTGAATGTAGTCAATCTCATTTCTAAGGGAGGTCCCTGAGAAGGTGAGAGGGAACTAAATCCTGACAGGTCTTTATTAAGCATCCCTAAACATATGAGAACTTGAGAGGGATGTAGTCAGCACATATATGTACATGTGTTTGCATAGTCACATATTTGGGATATTGGGGAGAGGGGAACAAATTTATTGAGAAAAGTCTGAAAATCAGTTTTAGTTCTGTCAGACCAGTGGAGGATTTGTAGTATCAAGGTGCTGTGGAATCTAAGTCATGTCTTTGTAGTTATTAAATTTCTCTGTTTAGGACATTCATATTTCAGAGCTCTAGGGCTACCTTTGTTTAAGCCTAATTGATACCTTAATATTCTGTTCTGGAGTGCTCAGAAAAATGCACACATTTTTATCATTGGAGACTCCGTAAGAAACTCTTCCTCTTTCACCTTATTCATCCCTTTATCCTTGTTAGTTCTAAATTTTCCATGAATCACTTAAAACTGTTTCCCCTCTCCCTTTTAATGTACCTTATCACATTCAACAATGGGCTTTCATTTGTCACCTACGGATCATCCACTTTTTAGATGAAATATGAATTTCTATCGCCCCGTCTATTAGAGATGCTGGCGACCTTCCTGAGACAAGCCAGGAGTTATTAGCCTTTGGGATGACTTAAAAATGAAAAATGGCATCATGTTCATTAAATAGTTGCTGTTGATTCTGTGCTTTAAAACATCCTGGCTATGCGATAATCTGTTAATTAACCTATCCTGCCCTTAGGGCTGGTGGTGAGGGGAAGGCCTGGGAAGATTTGGTGAACACATGGCTCTGAATGGGGCACGGGGCTTAAAGTATTTATTCTTATGTTTGTTACTAATTTCACAGTATGGGTGGCAGAAATATATCTCATATAGTGGAATGTGAAATTCTCATCTTGCAGAGAGTAAGACAGCATCCACAGATAGTTCATAGGGAAATGCAACACCTACTTAACAATTAGAGGAGATTCAACCTATTATCATAAAAAGTTCCTGACAGTTGGGCTTATTAAAGTATGAAATGGACCTTGGGGAGAGCTTCCCTTGACACGTGCTTTACCTGGGCACAGTATTTATTTGTGATTGTAAGAGTAAGACTAGGTCAGCCAGGCAGTGGACAAGACAGGTCCTATGGTGTTTATATAAGTTTTGTCATTGATTTGGGGCCACACACATAAATCTCTGACTGTTCTCCTCCTCCCACCTGAATTTAACCAAAGAAACTTGTTCCTGGTTTATTCAGCACACCAGCTCGCCCTACCCCTGGGAACTCCTCCTAAACATGCGCTATTACAACTTCCAGTCTCTAGTCGCTGGTTTTATCGAGGTAGCAGTTGCTGATTTACGTTCCACTGGAGGCCACCTTTTGTAGTTTTTATTATTCTCAAAATATATAGAATATATTTTTTCTAAACATTACACAAATACTAGCTTGACTAAAGAAAGTTGACAGAAGTGTACTGTGCTAGCCACTGTGAAAAGAGCTAATCAAAGCAGCTTTTTAATTGCTAGAGTAATGATTTAGATGTGCAAAAAATCCTAAAGTTAAATTTGCATGACTAATTAATTAAGCAAAGCTCACAATTGACAAACATAATTAGTGCATCAAAATTGAAACCACATCCTGGTCCTCTTAACTTCGAGCCAAAAAAGACAGTGTGAAGCAACTCAAATCCTCAATTCTCAGATTTATGTTTGTTATGCAGAACATAGTTAATTACAGAACATTCCTGAGGATCTTACTTTTTTTAAACAGAATTCTCGTGAGTATTGGCATATTTGTTCATTCCTTTAGTGGATAAATTTTATGTAGCAGAGTGGAAATCTCAAAAAGGGGGAATGATATCTCTATATCTATTATCTCTCCTATCCATCTACTTAGCAATCACCTGTAAATCTAACATCTGTCTTTTATCCATCTATCTTTCAATAAAGATATTTATGATACATAATTATTTTATGTGGGAAAGTGATTTGATCTGGGACACTGAAAACTGTGCAATGGCAGGTTCAGTTACTGTGGGATCTATGGTGGAGACAGATACAGCTTCCTGTGGAAAATCCTCATTGTACTAAAATAAAATGAGCCTCCTGGAGACCCTTTGAGCAAAAGCCATTCTGGAGCTGAGGCAGTGGGGAAAATGTCCTTCTTCCAACCCTGTCTTGCTTATCCAATGTGATGCTTGAGTCATTGACTACCAGAGTAGAATTGTGTTCAGAGTTTCCTGGGGAAAGTCACTACTACTAAAAATGGAGCTACCATATGACCTGGCAATTCCATTACTAGGGATCTACCCAAAGGACACAAAAACAGTGATTCAAAAGAACACCTGTACACTTATGTTTATTGCAACACTATTTAGAATAGGTAAAACCTGGAAACAACCCAGATGCCCCAAAATAGATGACTGGATCAAGAAGATGTGGCATATATACACAATGGAATATTATTCATCAATCAAAAAAGATAAACTCATGCCATTCGCAGCAATGTGTATGGAACTAGAAGGAATTATGCTCAGTGAAATAAGCCAGAAGGTAAAAGAAATATATTGGATGGTTTCACTTATGGCAGGAATATAGGGGAACCAAATAAGACATCAGTGTAAAAAAATAATAACAGTCCAAAACACAACAAAGCAAAAATGGACAACTATAAATCAGAGACATGCTGATTTATAATCAGTATGAGAAGGAGGGAGAGGGATCAGAAGGAGGGAGGGAGGAGCACAGGGGACTAAGGTGATGGTGCATGGGTCCACTGGTGAAGGAAACTCTATGGGGACTACACCTGAGGGGTGGGGGAAGCAAATATAGTTTAAAAATGAACAATGATATAAAAAAAAAATATATATATATATAAAAGAAAGTCACTTCCCTGATAATCTAGACACCCTTCCTCTGTACATAAAACAAAGACATCTTTAGTTGGACTAGAGACCAATATCTAGGGCGTCATATTATGTCCCCCATAGTGAAGCCTGAAAATTATCTGCAAAACAAAGTCCTCACCTCATTCTCTTTTTTAAAAAGATTTATTTATTCATACATTCAAGAGCTGGGGTACAGGCCAGAGATGTGGGGGGTGAGAGGATTCACCAGAGACAGAGTGGGGAACAGAACAGGCAGATTGACCAAAGTACACTGCTGAGGGAGGGGAGCAGCGGGCGAGCCAGGAGAG